CAACAACAACAACAACAACAAGAGCAACATGTTATGATTGAATCAATGGTTTCTGATTCTGAATCTGAATGTGAACATTCAGATGGTATTGAATCAGCTATATCATCTCCAACATCAATTGCAACAACAGTAACAACAACAGCAGCTCTTAATCTTAAATCTTTATTAAAAACTCCAACAACACCAAAAAATTTAACAAGACGTGTTATGTTTGATCCATTAGCACTTCTTCTTGATGCTGCTGTTATTGGAGAACTTGAACTTGTTGTAAAAGCAGCAAAAGAGGTTAATAAACAAAAAACAAAAATTTATTCTTATTATTCTTTTTGTTTTTTCTATCAAGGTTGAAAATCCCAGTCAACCAAATGATGAAGGTCTAACAGCGTTACATAATGCTGTATGCGCATCAAATTTTGATTGTGTCAAATTTCTAGTTGAATTTGGTTGTGATATTAATTTTGCTGATAATGATGGATGGACACCATTACATTGTGCTGCATCATGTAATAATACACCTATGGTTCAATTTTTAGTTGAACATGGTGCTTGTATTTATGCAACAACTATTCGAGATAATGAAACAGCAGCAGAAAAATGTGAAGAAGAAGAAGAAAATTATGCGACATGTTCACAATATCTTTTATGTAAGTTTAAAAGAAAATGAGACAATTACGAATTTAATTCTTTATTGTTCGATGATATCTAAAAAGAAATCTAAATTCGTTGATTAATAGGTAGATAAAGATTTTAGTATGAATTAGCTATTTAGTATCGTTGACACACATACATTATGTATCTTTTATCGATTATTGATCAATTTTTGAGTAAATATTGCTGAGATTGAACTTAATGACCTTAGTTAGTGTGGAAAGTTATTCAGACTGAGATTTTCGTTGTTGTTTTCGTCTTAGCATTGCATCTAATATTTATCTGGAAGATAATCAAATGATTTATAAAGTAAAGCGATTTGCTTCAATGAAGATTATATGCCTTTAGTAATATAGATTAAAATCTATAAATGAGTTGAATGACTGAATATATTCGTATCTGGATTATGTTTATTTTTATGAGTGCTTCTTTTTTTCGATCTATTTAATTCTAAGAAATACAATGTTGAAAATTTTTAATTATTTAGTTGTACAAAATGATTTGGGCGTTATCAATAATGGTTTAGTTTATTCTTTGTATGATTATGAACCAAGTAATTCGTTAGATGAGACAATGAACAATGAACTTACATTCAAGGATGGTGATCAATTAAGAATATTAAGACGTGGTGATGAAAATGAAAGTGAATGGTGGTGGGCTAAACATGAAACAAGCCAACACGAAGGATATATACCACGAAATTATCTTGGCGTATGTCATTTAAAGTTCTAGATTTCTTTTTTTTCTAATTTATATTTTATTTTAGCTCTATCCACGAGTACGACCAGGTTCAATGGCTTCCACTAGTTGTTAGTGCCTTTAATTGCTGTGGTTTTTTTTTCTTATTCTTTAATTCTCAGGATTTTCCTTTGTACAAATAATATTAATGATGATGATGTGCTCAGTTTTTTTTATTAAAATATTAGTTGCGACAAGCATCAGTTTCTTGGTGCAAAATTCTCTTTTTCTTTTTGCTTGTTGGTTTGTTTGGTTGGTTTTTTTTTTACTTTCTTCAATCAAAATGCTAATAAAGACATATTTACAAAAAAATAAAATTTTATTATTTGTTTTTTGATTGTTCTATACAAATAAATCTTTATAGAAAAAATAAAAAATATATTAATGAGTAAAGAATTAACAATAAAACAAGATGATTTCTGGCGTTTGATCAATCGAGAACAGTTTCTTTTACTCTATTTTAATGCTCGCCTACGATATCGTTTACGTAAGTATTTTCTTTTTAATTCATATAAGAAAAAATTAATTTTACTCTTATTCAGCTGCAACAGATAATGAATGTGTTTATATCCAAGTCAATTGTGATGATAAAACTATTGGAGAACATGCTGAAGTAAGTTTAAGACTTTTTTTTTCCTCACGAATAAAGATTTATTTTTAGCAATATATTTTATCTTACCTTGAACCTAAACATACGAAATCAATATCTTATTTACCAACTAATAAACAAATTTTATGTGATGATCTTTTATTGAATCGTTTAATGAAAGAATATTTAGTACATATTGAAATTGAAGATAAAGATTATTCTCATAAACTTATATTTCGTTCTTCAAAACTAACTGTTTTATATTTGGCAATCGATGATTTTCAAAAAACAATATCGAACGAGTATGAATCTGACACATCGACAATAATCGCTGCTCAATCATTATTAAAATCAATGTCAACAAATTTCGAAAGTCAATTACAAACAGTTGATGAACAAGATCAATTTGATGAACAAGAAAAAGCTTCACCAACAATTAAAAGTCAAATAAACAAAAACGATAATAGTAATGAGGATGATGATAATTTACTTCCTTATCGTGAACGACAAGAACCACCATTGACAATTCCTTTTCCAGGTGCTGAGTAAGTTTTCAATTTAAATTTCTAATAAGAAAGGAAAACATTTCTTTTTAATTTTATTTCTAGACCAAATACTCGTAAAGCTACACTAGATGAACTTATGGTTAAACCTAAAAAACAACATACACATCATCATCGTCAACATAATAACAATAATAATAATCATCGTCAACAAACATCTGATGTTAATGACAATGAACTTGTACGTGAAATGCGTCAAAAATTAAAAGGACGAAATTTACGTGATATTATTATTGATGGAGCAAATATTGGAAGAACGTATGAATTTTTATTATTTACTTTAGAATTTATTGATATTATTGAAATTTATTTCTTAGATATGGAGATTCAGAATTTTCAGCTCGAGGAATTAAATTAGCTATTGATTTATTTCAATCATATGGTTATCCAGATTCTAAAATAGTTGTTATTTTACCAGCACATTATTTATCAAAAGATAATAATCATGTTCTTCATGATTTAATTCGTCGAAAAATAGTTCATAAAGCTTTTCAACAAAAAATCGATGATCAAAATAAACGATTTTATGATGATAGGTAAAATAAATAAATAAACAAATAAAAAGAATATATATTTTTTTGATTCTTTTCATTATAAAAGATTAATCGTTGATGTAGCAGTAATGCGTAATGGTGTTATTTTATCGAATGATTTCTATCGTGATTTACTTCAAGATTCAGGTGATGCTGTACGTAAAGCTATACGAGAAAGGTAAGAATTATTTGTTTTTTCTTTATTTAAATAGTTTATTATTTAAATTAAACATTCTTTAGATTATTATGTTATCGATTTATTGGTGATAATTTATGTTTACCTAATCCAGTCTCAGAAGGAGGTTTACCACTTGATGTATTTCTATCCATGTGAATTTTTTCATCTTCACACATTTTATTTATAAATAAATAAAATGTTTTTACATATAATGTTCAAATATTTTTCTTTTGAATTATATTCTCCAGAGGACGATTCTTAAGTGCATAAAAAACAATTGGTGAAGATAATTCACCATAAATCGATGGTAAAGTATGTTTTACAAGAGATGAATTCTTCAGAGTTTGAGTAGACGAACTAATTGGAGATTGTACAAAAGAAATAGTAGAATGATTTACAGTTGGTTGTTGAATAGAAGGAGTTGTAGAATATTGCACTGAAGATTGATGTGATGGAATTATTGATTGATGAATAGAAATGTTTGGAGTTTGCGTAGGAATTTGATGAATAGGAACTGTAGCAGATTGTATAGGATGTTGATAGGGTAAAATAGTTGAAGATTGATATGAAGGAGCAAATGTAGTTTGCGGTGCATCAAGAATAGGTAGTTTTCGTCGTACTTTTATCGTATTTGCTGATGATGGAGTAAGATTCTTTTTTGTATTTTTATTTACATTAGAAGAAGGCTGTTGTCCAATTAGAGGAGAAGATTTATATTCCAGAGCTGTATTTGACTGAGGTTCCATCTTATTTGTTTTATACCAAGAATTTTTTGATTGATCATGTGGTTTTTGTGATTCTACATCAGTTTTTCCGTTACCTATATGTTCTTCATCAGATGAATTTGATTCACTTTCCTCATAATCATAATCATAATCATCATCATCATTCGGTGGATGTTTCCTCATTGGTGTAGTAGATGATGCTTTTTCATACCATACTTTATCAGGCGAAGGTGTACGTGGTTTAACTAATACTTGTTCATCAAAATTCACCGATCTAGCAATTAGTGGACGTTTTGCTCTTGACATTGGTATTAATTCTGGTCGTTCTTTACTATAAGAATGAGGCTTTTTTAATGCACTTTTTACATAAGATGGTGTCGGTGGTGCGGTAATCGTAACAAGAGGTGGTGTCTCTAGTTTTGGATAACTTGCATTATTATATAATCGTTCGATAGGAACGTGATTATACGGCATGATACTTGGCGATGTTTGTGTGCAACCCATAATTAACAAACAGATATTCATAAAGTACAAAATCGATCAATGAAAGACTAGAAAAAAACATACATATATATATACAAATAATAATATTGATATATGAACGACAGATTTAATCAAGTATTGATATAAATAAACGTTATAATCAATAATATACATCCTATTTGCATGATCAAGATACAATGACAAGAAAATAATCTGTACAATTGATTTTATTTACTTACATTTATTTGTAACGGTATGTACTGCTATTTCTTGATAGTATAATCAGCTAGTGCATCTATGTAGAAATATGTATTACTATAAAATCTAATATGAAGACAAAAAAATACAATTTATTCTGTTTGATTTCTTTTTGACAATAACAACGACGAAATAAAATCATGATACATTTATAAGAGAAATACTAAAGAAAAAACGAAAATTTTGATTACAATAAAAAGGTTTTCTTTCTTATAACATTAAAAACAAATAAAAGAACATACTTGGACTCACTGAGAAACAACAGTAAACAAATCATTTTTTATTCTATTTGTTTAACATAATTATTAACTTGATTATGGACCTCCCTGACATAGATCAGGTTCATATACACGTATTTTTTCTTCGATAACAAAGGTCATTATATTTTTATTATTATTACTCATATCAAAAAGTAATGAACATTTGAGACAATATCAATGACAACACAATTCTTCTTCATTATCATCTTAAAAAAATATTGTAACTCATCAACAACCGTGATGTTTTTAATGAATTTAACAAAAGTTCCAAGAAAAGAAAAATACGAACTAGATTTTATTATACCATTATGATTTATAAGTGAATCTTTTACAAAATTGTTTGTGTGTTATATATATATTTATGTATGATTAGTAATCAGGTCCAAAGTCGTACATTAAAACCCGATCAACTAAATGTCATTCATGAAACTTATGATAGAGTTGTACTGCAACAATTAAGAGAATCTTCAATGAACTATCGTAGATTAGTTTATTGATACAGAGAAACTTTGAAAAATCCAAGCACTGCTTTACTAACTGAACTTCAACCTCACACAATCATATATTATGGTTATAATGCATCATCAAATCCTGTTCAATAGATTAGTACTGAAATGGGTGATACATTTTATTCAATTTAGTCAACAGGTACAGCAAACAATGCTTATAATTTAGATAGTTCAGAATTTTATCCCGCTGGATGTGATATAAATCTTCAATATTCGATATCCTTGATTTTGTAATAATCTATCTCTGACGATAATAATGCAACAGTTAGTTGATATAACAGATTGAATATTCTAAAATCAGGTCATACACTTCTGATAGAAACATTTATCGTTTATTTCTGTAGTTAAAACAGAATCTTTCATGTACAAATACTATCAGATTTATTATCCAAATAAATACAAGATTTAATAAGTCGAAATAATGCGACATCTATCATCGAATATACGTAGACATTTTAAAAGAAAGAAATTATCTTAAGCTTTGATAAAAAGAAATTATTTCCAAAGAATATTTTTGATACTCTATTGAAAATATTCAATTACTCTCAGATTATTAAAATAATTTTAATTTGTTCGAACTTATTCCAATGATATAAATCAATCAAAGCGATATCTATTGGCTATTTCGAAACTTCATATAATTTCTAATCAAATCCTATTTGTGACTTGTATCATATATCTACATAAACAATCATTCCTTTACAAAAACATGTATGATCAAACTAATACACAAAATCCTCGTCGATCATCAATGACGAATAATAAATCTCGTTCCAATTCATCATCTTCGACTATTTTCAAACGTCAATCGTCTGGTTATATTCCATTATTAACTACTAATTCTCGTCCATTATCAAATAGTACAAATTTCCCACAACGATCTATTATTAATAATAAAACAAAACGTAAAACAGAAGAATATGAAAATGATCCATTTGAATATGATGTTCCAACAAGTAATTATGCTTCTGTACGAAAACAACAAAGTCAATTATCAACAATTAAGCGTATCAAACCTGATCAATCAACTGTACCCGTATGTTTATTTCTTAATAAAAAACCTTGAATGATATATTTTTTATTTTTGATAATAATAGAAAATGAAACTTTTACCAGAAGATAATTCTTTACGATTAGTCACATCTACTGTTCAAGGAATGAAACATTGGACAAATAAAAATTTACCATATCCAATTCTATTTGAAATTTTTGGTAAAGTTGGGTTTTTCCTTTTTTTTTTTTTGAAGAAATATTTTATTATTTAAAGGTAAACTTGATTCTCAAATAACATCTTTATCATTAAATAATACACGTCAATTTTCATTAATTGATGATAAAGATCGTATTGAATGTATCTATGCTGAAATGGATCAATCATTTTCTAATATTGATCGAGATGTTCAACTTCGGTAAGATATTTTAATATTTATTCTATTTTTATTTTTATATATTTTATTTAGAATTATTTGTCGATTAGAATCTGAAAGTACAATAGCTCGTTGTATTGCTATTCGTGTTGCTAACAAAGATGAATGGCATGAAAGACATGCTATTATTCAACAATGTGATATACAATTAAATGAAGATGATCTTAATTCGAAAAAATTAAAAAAGAATAACAAAAAATTACACAAATAGTTCTTGTCATATATATTTTTTTTGTATCTAGATATTTTATTTAATTATTTTATTTTATTTTTCTGTCAGATAGAATACAAAATGAACTATTGATTTACTTGTTTTTCTAGATGCCTGAAGATAAAGAAGCACCTGTATATACAGCTGAAAAAATTCTCCTCAAACGAATACGAAAAGTAGGTATATTTATTTTATAAAATTAACTATACAAATCATTTTTAGGGTAAAGTTGAATATTATATCAAATGGAAAGGATGGGCTGCTAAGTAAGTGATTTGATAAATTATTTTTTTGGTTTTATTTTACTTTTAATTTTAGATGGAATACTTGGGAACCTGAAAAACATATTTTAGATAAACTACTTATTGAAGATTTTAATAATAGGTAAATAATATTAAAAGAATATGTTTATGTCTATTTTTATTATTTATAGAAATCGAAAACAACAAAAAAGTAAATCATTAGATCGTAATAATGTAAATAAACGTCAAACAATCGCAAAAAATCGTGCAAATAATTCACGTCGAACACGTCATCTTCAAAGCTCATC